TATTAAAAAAAAAAACACTGGGTTGATGATATGGAGCATTTATATGACTTATGACTTTAAAGTTACATGCCTTAAGAAGAGCAATCCCCCCCCTGCAAAAACACACTTGCTGATGACACTAGTTGGATGGAGAAATAAAGCCAGGAGAATCTACCAATTAGTGCTCTTAAACTGTCCCTCAGCAAAACTGTATAGAGAGGACCATCCAGAAACCGCATTGCTGAGGCAGATTACAGCATGCCCATCAGAGCAGATCAAATTATGCTGGCAAATATTTCTGCCAACTCAGGTCCTGGAGGAATGAATGCAGTCATGAGGAAGAACCCTGGACTATCTTTGAATAGGCTGACCTGGCTGACTGAGTATGCTTTGATGTAGGAACATCCCAAGAGGATAATGTTAACTGCATAGTTGGTTGCTGCTGCATAGTTGTTGCTGCTGCCTAGTAATTCTCTCTTCACAAAAACCTTCAAACTTGTCTGTTGCTGTAACGGAGGAAAATTGCTGGAAGAGATTTCACTGCAATCTTTTCCAACTTGGGCCTGTTAATGCACTAGATAAGAACTCTTGTCATTCCCAGCTAAGTCCTGCCAATTGGGGCCCCTACCCAGTCCGTAAGCCAAACCACTTATTCTATTTTTACAGATATGTTGGTGGCTATTTGCATAAAATAGGGATGTGGATAGCCTGGGGAGTAGGTGAAGTTCATTTTCTTTTGAATGGAGTGAGGGAATCTATTCTTCCACAGAAGAGAGATAAAATAATGTTTCATTTTCAGCATTTCTATATTAGTAAAAGAAAGTAATTGAAGATTGTTTTCCAATTGTTTTCCTAGATTGTGCATGTGCAAGTAAATAACAGTTTCCATTATCTATCTCTATCTCTACCTTCCCTTTTCACATTTATGGGTGGTCTGTGTCTTCCTCTGTTGACTACCATCTGCCCACACCTCTTTAGTCTGAATGACATTCTGATGTCCTCACTGTACTCTCATGTCAGGTGGAACAACGAGTTGATGTCTCATTCACTTTTAGCATGCAGCTTGATGTCAACCATGTACAAGAAGTGGCTGATGATAATATCACTCTTGAATCTGTATCCGTATCTAGTCCTTGTGATTATCTGGCAGAGGGGATTCAAGCCTATGTAGAACAGCAATGGGCATAGTGCATCACTGTGGTATATGCTGCACATAATGGCTACTTGTGTGACCTACAGTATATTGAGTTGACTTCCAGTGTTGTCTTCAACAGTCACATTGAGCTTTTGAGGAAGGCTGTTAGTATCCTGTTGACTTTCTATACTTCTAGGTATTTGCAGATCTGTGAGTGTGGCATTGAGTCGTAAGCTTTCCTGTAGTCAATCCAGACTATGCAAAAATTGGTCTGTCTAGCCCTTGAGTCTTGGACAACTACTCTGTTTATGAGCAACTGGAATTTTGAGTCTCTGGTATTGTTCCCAATGCCCTTCCGAACTATGCTCATGTACTGGCCCATATAGTACAGTAGTTTGATGGCTTATGCCTGGTAGAACTTTATATGTATTTGTGCGTGGAAGGATCTTTCCTCCAACAGTTCTGATATGGTCCTTGTAACTTAATACCTCCAACTCGGCAACTTGATTTTCCCTCCTTTGCCTTATACAGATAGTCCTCAGGTTATGACAGCAATTGGGACTGGGATTGCCATTGCTAAATGATATAGTCTCAAGTAGGGAGTTTAGGAAGTGTCATGAGGATGTTTCATGAAGATGAGAGATATTGCAAGGAGGTCCTGGGGGGACCGGTGTAGGCCAGGATGAGGTGGGGGAGGTTGGGGGAAGGCTTGAGAGGCCTGGTGGAGGCTGCACATGAACACAGGAGGCCCAAGTGAAGGATGGTGCAGAGTGAGTGCAAGAAGTCCATTGGGATTTATTAAAGCTACATGCAACCTTCCCTGCTGGCTTCCCCATTGCCTTTGCTTGTGGGAAGCTGGCAGTGAAGATTGTAAATAGTATAAGTGAAACCAATTGCCAATCACCCAAATCATTGCAAGGGTTTTGCAATGGCCAGATGTTGAGGGCTAGTTAAAAGTGCCAGTCCTTCAGCACCGTCCCAACTTTGAATGATCACTGAGTGAGTGGTTGGTAAGTAAGGACTACCTGTACTGTACCAGAGGCAAAAAAAAATCTTCTTGATGTTTCCTTCAAGGTTAGATAGTTGATGCACATTTCAGTATAAACTGAAGGTTGTGTGAGTCTTCCCCTTTCTCAGTTTTGCATGAAATACAATCAGTCAAGAATATCAGGTTGGCTTTTGACAAAATAAAAATCCTACTTCTAAAGGAATACAGAGGCTTACAATAATAGGATGAAAAGTAGATTGGAATATACTGATACATCACACAGTATAGTTTTCTTTTTTAATAACTGCAATGAAATGACCTCAGCTTATACAATTAAAATGGAGGAGTTAGGATTTTGTAGTCGGGTTTTGATTCAGTAAAATAAAACATTTTAAATTCTAAGCATAATGCTTCTTTGCATCATGAGTTGAGATTCTAAGGTTAATAATAATAATTAAGAAATCTGATTTCTTCTTATTCTTAATCTAGAACTTGAATTCAACTCAGTGCATGAATTCAGCTACTATAGCTGCATCTCACAATTGTAGGCTTATCTAATATTTGAAATCAGACCATAATAATATCATCATAGTTAATATATGAGAGAAAAGATGTAATACTATAAGTTGATTTTATGCTACATGAAAAAATAGTTTTACCAATAATAATTGCTAATTGCTAATATACAGTGTGATTTTATGTCTTGAATTAGGATAGTCCCCATGTGTAAAGTTAGAAAAATTTAAACATCTGACTCTGTTCCCGGGTGCCTATGCTATGGTTTTCATCCATGTAAATCTCATAAAAGCATTCAAAAGCCTAAACAGGAGACAAGTGGAAAGAAGAAAACTGCATTTTTGCAGTTCTGAGTGCCATAAAAAAGTCCTTCATTTTCTTTCCATAAAACCAACTTGAAATGTCATCTACCCTACCTACTGTCTGAAGTAATCTTGAAAAGCATTCAGTTTCTCTGGATGTTACTACTAATTAATAATTGCAATATCTGTGTTGGGCACATTTGGGCAAGCTAATGTTAAAAAAGGAAGACAACAATATTAATTCTTTTTTAGGAATTCCTTTTTAGGAAACCCCACATATCATCAAATGATAAAAGGCAAAAATCAGAGGTTTTGCAAAGCTTCCCTTGTCTACCGAAATGGGGCATAAATATTCAATTAATTTCAGAAGAATATGAGCAAGCTGTTTCTAATGATTTACATTTTAACTATATTTTAAATTTCGTAAATCAACTTGTATCTTCCTTATATAATCATTTTGCTTTGAACAGAAGTAATGTTGGTCAGTATGTCATTCCACTGCAGTATCAGGATGCTACTAGAGCTGTGGTGGCGCAGTGGTTAGAATGCAGGCTAATTCAGCTCACTGCCAGGAGTCTGATCCTCACTGGCTCAAGATTGGTAAGGATCCGAGGTGAGGATCCGAGGTCAGTAAAATGGGGTCGACTCTGTAAACCGTTTGGAGAGTGCTGTAAAGCACTATAAAACAGTATATAAGTCTAAGTGCTATTCCTACTCATTTCTATTATAGCGATTAAGATAAAAATCACAAACCACGTGACATACCTTTGGTACTTTTCTTTAAAATCCAGCAACATAGTTTTGAGTCATTCAAATAACAGTTTTAAATGCGTTCAAGTATTTGTAAGAGTCACAGAACAAGTCCTGTGCCAACATAAAGCTATACAATTTTTTAAAAAGACAAGACGGAATGTCATGCAAACTGATTCTAACTCCAGGTACATGGAAGCAAGTTTACATCCAAAGATATGTGTCTAAGATAATCATAGCATAGGTAGTCCTTGCTTAACAACCATTTATTCAGTGACTGTTTGAAGTTATGACACTGAACGGAAATTCTGGTCCCAGTTAGGGTTGTTAAGCAAGGATAACCTGCACTTACTGTGAAAATAAAGCATTTCATATAGATAACCCCGTAGCAGTCAGTTTATAATATGCTGTCATTACAAAAATTAGAATTTGCATAACTTTCCAGAAATTGCTGTTTCATTTCAGTAATGTTCTTTTGTATGTTGGACTTCAATAGACTGTATTCTTAACATCATTACTGCAGTTTATGCAAATCATTGATCCACAGGAGGAGCAACCTCATTTCTATGAATCCTCTTCATTTATTGATTTAAATCACAGTGATGAAACTGGCACCAGATTTACCCTGAATAAATGCAATATAGAACTTGATTCTAGGATCTACAATCAAGCCACATATTCCACAACAAATCCCCACTGAGTCAGAATACGTAATGTTTGGTAAGATAGACAGAAATACACTTTTTTAAATGAGCAAGTTATAATATTGAATATAAAGAAATGGGGAACACGTCCCCTTATTTTTTTCAAATAAGCAATTTGTGTCAAAACAGAAATATAATAGTTGAAACTGAAAAAGATTGCACTCTAATGTTCTAATGTTACCTGTCAGCAGTGCTTTTTTTCTAAAAAAAAAAAAAAAAAAAGGTGCCGGAACTCACACATGTCATACAACCTGCCTTGTCTACCCTACAAGGTTCCATCCAAAAAAGGTGCCGGAACTCCGTTCTGGGCGTTCTATGAGAAAAAAAGCCCTGCCTGTCAATATGCTGCTATTAAAGTATTAATATACTGTATTTTAGGATTTCCAAGGCACATTGCAATATTGGCAATGTTGTTTCCAAGTATTGTGGAAGTAAGAAAAGTAAGCTTCAGTAATCTGTGGGCTCATTATCCTAGAGACTAAAAGGATATCTACAGAACAAAAAAAATTAGATTCCTAATAAGTATTTATATAAATTACCAGTTTGAATTACTAGCATCTATCAGAAGCAATACCATTTTATATTTATTTAACAACAACTGTATCAGATTTCCCAATTCAATATTTTATTTTCTCTCTAGAAACATGTTAAGGCTGAAATTTTATGCGAATTATTCCTATACATATACACACAAGTGCATACATATACACATGTGTGCACAAACATACAATTGCACAGTAAAATATTTCCCAGATCATAAATCTGAAGGAATATGGTAGCATGTTTTCAGATTTCATTAAAAGGTATACACTTTCATGAGCTGCAGTTTATTTCATCAGCCTTCATAAAGTTCATGAAAGCTTATGCATATTAATAACATGTGTTAGTCTGCAAAAGTGAACCCAGACTCCGTATGATTTTTGGATCTCATAGACTCCTATAGATCTCTCCTACAATTTTCTTAAATCAATCAACCCTTATCACAATTTATTGTTTCCATTTTCCTGCAGGCACAATAGCTCATTTAAAATTTGCATTGTGGCTCTTTAAAAATGCAACCACTACAGATATGTATTAATGCAATAGTTTTTCATTGTAACTCTCAGCTATATTTGAATTTCAAGCAAAAACATATTTTAAACCTGATTTTTAGAAATTATATTTTAGACTAAAGCCTACTGAATTAAATTAGCTAATTTTCCAAATAAATATGAATTATTCTCTACAGTTTAATAACCATAGTTCTAACTCCAATTATTCCCTAATTATGCTTTATTATCTTCTGTGAATCACCTTGCTAGTAAACCTCATAAACTATATGGTAGTTCATTTTTCTGTAAACAATTGGTCATGTGCAGCTAATATAATTTGGCAGGTTCTAGACTTTATGCATGTGGTCCAACTGATGAGCCATTTAGTTTGGTTTTGCTCTTAAAAATAGTTTTCTTGTTTAGAATTCGTGTTAAGGTTCCTCCTTTCTTTTGAGTACCATCAGATCTGGGTTGCTGTAGGTAGGAGAGATCATTATGTGATTGGCTCATTCCTGGGTCTTTTTTATGGTGTCTTCGAAGAAAAAATAACTTTGCACTCTTTTTTAATATTCCACCTGCAACAATGAAAATATATAGTTAGCTTCACAAATCAACTTTATTTGAAACACTGAAGTTCCCTAAACTATGGCAACTGAGTGCTCTATAACTTAATGTTTCTGAGCACCACAACAAAAGGCAGGAGCTACAGACATGGTACACCCCTTTTCATGTGTACCTGATAGTTATAGTATCTGCAGGACCCTCAAATTTAAGGTTTTTTTTTTTTTTTTTTTTAAAAATCTGAAATCTCAGAACATTAGGCTCCCACCTGAAACTGGTAAAATTTTGAGCTTACAATGACAAATTCATAATATACAGTAATGTTTCTCAACCTTGGCGATTTGAAGATGTGTGGACTTTAACTCCCAGACTTAGTATAACTGATGGGGAATTCTGGGAGTTGAAGTCTACACATCTTCCAACTACCAAGGTTGAGAAACACTGATATACAGTATACATTTTAACAACAGAAATATTTTAGATACCAAAATGCCAGGAACAATCCACATTAACCTTGCAGACCCCCAGGGTTTCCTGAACCACAGGAAATCATTAATCATTAAGTCATTAATCTCAGAGAAGAGGAACTAAGACTGAAATAGTGGTGTTCTTAAAAGACTTCTAGTTATATCACCATAATATTTCATATGCCTGTGGATCTCCCTCAGATGTAGCAAACTGAAACATGTCAAGAGAAGTTTATCTTTATATTTGATATGCTTATTGAAATGCATCAAATGAGTCCTTAAATCACTCTGATAGTTGGGAGTTTGAGAGAAAATAGCTGAAAACACAATTATATATATTATATATTGGTGATTTCCTACAAGTGTCCCTTTTGTGCTAAAAATGTTAGCCATTTCTTATTAGTGATGACTATGCAGAACAAGAAAGAGGTTTTCCATAGGAAATTTCCTTGATGTAAGAGAAAACAAATTTTCAAATAGTAACGATTTCTCAGTTATCTCTTGGGAAAGAAATAACATAGACTTGCTGAATCAGCGAATAGAAAAACATGGATAAAATCCAGATAAAAGAAAACAGATTGAATTGGCTCAGATTTCAACAAGAAAAGTTAAAGCATTATCTCTCCCTCTCTCTCTCCCTCTCTGCCTCCTTCCCCCCCCCCCCAGTAAACCAGCTAAACTGAATGAATAGGTTTTACTTCAAATCTGCTCATCAGGTTTTTGCTACTATTAGAAAATAAATGCAATTCTGGCTCACTTTTATTAAGTTTGTTTTTACTAATTACTCGTTTTAAATTAAACTTCAAGTAAGTACTTTAGTAGCAATTAAGTCTAGAAATAATTTCAGATTTTTTGGGTCTATAATGTATTCAAATATATTCAATCTTTTGGGACTAAATAGGGAACAAAGGAGAAATAGAAAAGGAAACTGCATTATCCTATTGGAAGAAGGAACAAGACATCAAATGTTTCTATGTGTGATGGTACAAATATGTTGGTAGATATTCAGCAAATATAAAATTATGATTTTAAATTAAACATTCCATAAATTAAATGTACAATTTTTTTATATTGAGCAGACTTTTCTTCAAAATATGTCAAAAATAATCAGAATTAAAACTACAGTACAAGGAAAACCAATAACAGCTTTGCTTAGCATCACTACCTCAAAAAACTTTATTTGCATATTTTGAACAACATAGAGTTACTATTTTATTTTCAAAAGTATGCCAAGAGTTACCAAACTTTGGGAGGAAAAAAAGTAAAGTACAAGAGGAACTGGCAAGAAGTACCACCAGCTTTCTTCTAATCCCCATTCACAACCCCGATGTGAGACACACACACACAGTGATATGCTATACATTTTCTAAGTGTGCCCAAAGCTCAATAATATTGCCTTCCCTTTAAACACAAGAGTGATTAGAGCAGCTTCTGGCACTCTAAAAAGGTTTGGACTGGAATTCCAAAAGATGCCTAGAACAGACGTGGGGAACTGTGGCCCCTTTATGACTTGTGGACTTCAACTCTCAGAATTCCTGAGCCAGCATAGCTGCCTTGGGAATTCTGGGGGTTGAAGTCCACAAGTCAAAAAAGGGCCACAATTCCCCACCCCTGTTTTAGAAAATGCCTAACTGGAGAAGGCTATACCATTGATACCCCTTTAAGAGAAAAGGTTCATACCTTTGGACTTCTTCACAGTTTCAGATTCTGAGATGCTTACAGAGCTCCCTGATATCTTATCACAGTCTTGGTCTAGTAGTGCATTGTTGTGCCATTGATGGCGACTGTCATCTAAGGTCCATGCACCATGGCTGTGTTCCTGGGGTTCTTCAAGGGCAGATATCGTTTGAGAGGCAGCTAGTGATACTGTTTCATCTGAAGGGGATTGTGCAAGACACCCTTCAACGCTAAAAGTATCATCTTGTCTACAGGAGCCATCCATGGCTGCTGCATAGTCCATCATGAGTGCAGTTTTGCTGTCCTGAGATAAATTAGTCTGAAATATGAAAAACAAATACCGCAGCCAGAACACTATTAGTTTGGAATAAAATTAGGATCAAAAATAATTTTTAGATATGCTTAGATATTTGTGGCAATGTTCCATCACACACACTTGGACATGCTGTGGATATAAAAAGTGGGCTTCCTTTAATTTCATAACCATGTTTATTTTTCCCTATGTTCTTCCTACTGTTTAAAATAACTTTTAAAGTAAAATTTAATACAAATATTTCTTTTATAAAATCATATATAATGGGGCAGGGAGCCTATTTGGAAATACACACCCATAGATCTTTAGTCACTGGGGGATGAAATAGAAGTGGTTAAAATCTGCTTGATTTCTTGGTCTTCTTGTATAAACCATCAAATGGTACAGCATCTCTTAGGAATTGGCTCTTGCCTCTTTAAGCATTTTCCCCTGTTCTTTTCCTTCTCGTCCACAGCATGTGACCCTTTTCTCTCTAGGGCCTACCTAACATTTTGCCCAGGATCATTTCTCCTTTGGTTCTCAGCTTTAGCCACCCGTCTCCTCTCTTTCTTCAATGGCCTTTTCTTCTTCCCCACATCTTTTGTCATACACACTCATTTCTGAATTCATTGCCCATTCTCGTCTTTTAAATATCCATATTTGGGCTCTACATGTCTTAGTGTAGTGCAACTTGGGATCTCTTCTAATTTATGTTCATGTAGCTACTCCTATGAAAAATTTCCAAGGCCAAATTATCCTTTCATATCCAGCACAAAACCTGGTATGTTTGAACTAATTCTACTTTGTTTATTTGTGTCAGAAGCATCACAATTAAATTAAGTCATACTATACAACATCATTTTTTTAATATAAAATACAAGATTAAAATATGTACAAATTAAACAAGTCTTGCCCAGGAACTAGCAGTATTATGTTTTGTTGCACTGCCATGAGGTCCTCAAGTGTACACTGGTCAGGACATAAGGAGCAGGTATACTATACATATGACATGAAAGGAGCCTCCCCAAAGAATGTATGTTGTTAACATATTCGGGCGTCCCCTAGGCAACAGTTTATAGCTGGCTAATCCTTTCAATCCAGAAGCATCCAAAGTGTATGAGGTGATCATTTCCTTCTGTGACACTAATTCTACTAGAGACATTATTCTTTCAGAAGCCAGGATATTTTTGACAGTAGTAGCCAATCACTGCCGGGAATATCTTTAATGTCACCAAACTGCCATGGGTATTACATCACATATTTCAATAACAAAATTAGAAACTGGTTTATACAGGCCTGAAAAAAATACTTCTTCTTCACTTCTAGACAAATTTTAATTAATTAACTCATTACATTTATACACTGCCTGATTCTAATGACCATTATTTTTACCCTAAGTATCATACAGAGAAGCACAAATTATTGTTTTTGTTTTTACTCCATGACATGAAAAGCTTTAGCAACAATTAATGTAATATTTCTGACGCTTGCAGTATTCAGAAGAAATGTCTTTTCTTCTCTGGGAAACCATGTCTTAGTCTAAACATTCAACTTCAAAATAGCATATAAACCCAGTGGGGAGTTTTTTTTAAAGAAATTTTAGTAGAAAAAATACCTGGTCTTGAATTCATTAAATAAAAAACAGTCATGATTATTTTGTACCTTTGAAATCCCTGATATTATGATGGTGCTTTTTTTTCTGGGAGATTTGAACTTTTGCTTTGCAGATTCACTGAGCTGTTGAATGGCTACTTCAGCCACAGGATCTGTGCCATTCAACACCAGTAACTCTGCCAAAATAAATACATAAATAAGAAAAATGACTAGATAAAATAATAAAGTGCACAATACAGAATCAAGCATAAATAAATGCCCTAGTAGAAAGGTATTGTTTTGTATAAATTAAAATTCAATACTTTAAAAACTAAACCAATATTTTTCCATTGCTTTGCATTTCAAGAAACAGTTCTGAGAATTTTGCTTGCATTTCATCAATATTTAATTCAAAGTTTAAATATACATGTAATCAAAATACATTATTTGAATAGTATAGGTCAGTGGTGGCGAACCTATGGCACGCGTGCCAGAGGCGGCACTCGGAGCCCTCTCTGTGGGCACGCGCGCCATGCCCTGGAGATGGCAACCATCCCTCTTCAACCAGCCGCCCGCTAACTCGCCAAGGTCCCATGTGGCTGGATGCATCCCAGCACCCATGCGCTCGCTGGCCTCTGTGTGCGGGGGCCGATGGTGTCAAGCAGCAGCTGCCCCGGCCCCTGCCTCACCTTGCCCTGTGACAATGGCACCCCTGCCTCGCCTCACCTCGCAGGACGAGCCTCCTGCCCACCGCCCCACATCCCAGTGACCCCCTGAATCTCCTTCAAATCTGCCCGGCCCCCACAGGCGTCCCTCCCCACGAGCAACATCGAGGTGATCACGCCCACCTTGGCCACACCCAACCACTCTGCCATGACCACAGCCACGCACACCCAATGGGCCACGCCCACCTGGCACCTGGCGATAAATAAGTGGGTTTTGGTTTGCAGTTTGGGCACTCAGGCTCTAAAAGGTTCGCCATCACTGGTATAGGTTATGTGATAAACAACTTCATATCAAATTAGTCCTAAGTATTTCAGAGGCAGATTTGCTTTTCAGGTTCTATCAACCGGTTTCTTGTAACTAAATACCAGTGATTAGAAGCAGCACTCATTGAAATGGAATGCATGTTTTTCTGTAGTTTTTCCTTTTTTAAAACACCGATAAAGAGGAATATATACAATCAATGCATTTATTATTACTCCCTGATTTCAGTGTGATTAGTAGCTCAAAACATGTAAGAAATAATTAGAAATAGAGGCAGAAATTCCTGTCTTTATGACATATCATAATCTGTTTAAAAGAAAAAAAATTAGCACATGACAAATTCAGGAGAAATCCCACAGAACCTCTTTATTTGTCAAAGGAGCAGATTGGAGTAGTAGTACTTTCTTAATATTTCATAGAAGATACCCACTGATATTTTATATTTCCTATGGCATTATCATAACTATAACTCTCTTAGTGGAAGATTATGACGTGGTAGAAAATGCAGTGAACTTTTAGCATGTTTTCTTCATAAAAGCAAGAATGAACCGCTAGATATTCCTTTCCAATTCAAATTGCTCAATTTCTATGCCTTTGTTAAGTTTAAGTATTATTGTTCACCTTGGCACGTATGGCAGACATGGAAATCGGGCTTATCATTATTCTGTATGAAGTAAGTCATCGTATCAAACAGGCATTTTTTTTGGAAGGGGGAAATAACTTAACCTAGTGTCTTACAATTCAAAATCAGTTGTAAAACTGACCCTAAAAACCATCACATGCAAGCTGAATGTTTGCTTGATATCAGTTTATTAGAGTCCCACTGTCTGAAGATTGTCCCATGCCTCTCTAAAGAAAACACAAACTCACCAGTATCTGAGGAAGATAAAGCCTTGCTTACTGAAACATTCTGACAATGGATTGCTTGAATTGATAAATCCTTTTCAATCCTTTTCAGTTTAGCAGGACTTTGAACTGGTGAAACTGTTAGATAAAACAGCTTGATTATTGTTTCATTTATACATTACAAAAGACAAACCCAGCAAAACATTCACCTTTTGCAAATGGATAATATATTAAATACATAGATCTGATCAGTTACTATACTAAGCCATATTGCTGATTGTTTGCTTAGCTTAAAGCAGTGTATGAATCCATTTATTGAAATATATACAGCATGATGTGCATATGGTGGTTCATTCAACAAACCACAATTAAGCAAATTATTGCTACTGTAATGTATGATTCCAATCTATCATCTACTTCATTTCAGGTTTTTTTAAAAATTATGCTTTCTGGGATACGAACATATACTGTCTGGAAATTCAAGAGACAGATAACCATTTATAAGACAGTCAGACCACAGAGTTACTGTTTGTAATTCTTTCTCATAGCACAGAATTTTCACTCTTATTTTTGTTTTGAAGCAACATTCACAGTACAACATGTAACATCTGTTTGTTTTGTACAGCATAGTTAATTTACTATCATGCTTGGAACGGATTTAGACTTATGTATCAGAAGTAATAACTAGCTTATTACTACTACTAGCTACCACTGTACTCCTGTATTTTATTTATTACTGCAATATAATTTTACCTGCAGAGTTAATCATTAATGAAGCAGGAAGGGAAATCTTTCTCTCTTCTGCAATCTTCCATGTGCCTTGAAGATTTGCCTGAGGTGTTGGGCAACTCTCCCAAACAGAATTAGCAAAGAAACTGAATGATGTTGGATTTTGCTTAATCATCTGAAGCCTATTTTTTCCAATGTTTAACTTGCAAGATTTTGCAAATAGGTGCACAAAACAAAGAAACATGATTCCTCCTTTTTGTTCACTGCATTTATGTGAAACAGGATTTTCACAGTGTGAAAGAAGCAAGCGCAGAAGCCAAAACACTAATCCCATTAAAAATCTTTTGTGCAAAGAAAGAAAGAAGTAATCAATCACTTCTTTTATATGCAGAAGCGAAGTGGTTGTTACAAGGTAAAATGTAAGGCTATTTAAGGTTCATTACTATTTTTAATTGATTCAAAGGTTGAACATTTTTAAAATTACATAATTAAAGTAATCGAATCACTTTTTTCATTCTAAAAAAAATATCCTCCTTTTTAAGAACTAGCATGCATGTTATCTCTCAGTATCTTCAGTCCCAGAACGTTCCACAGCCAAATAGGTTTGAAAAGTAATGAGTCAATCCAAGTTGTATCCTGTCTTTCATCTTACAAATTTGTCTTAAAAGGTCAAGTTCTTAGAGCAAGGTAGACTTCCTCTTGGATTCTCACCTGAGTGCAGAATAGATGATCTCCCTTCCACTAAAGTCTTGGCTTTCACAGCAGTTACAGTAGTGACCACAGTCCCACAGGGCATCACAGTTCGATCCTTTTCTACTTTTGCAACAGGAAGCTTGGCAGGAACCTGCAGTGATTTTGCTTCTGAAGGTTCTATGTATAAGAACTAAAGAAAGAGAAGTTTACTTGGCATCTTAAAATAAGGATAGTTGAACATATATCTTCTATTTTATGGGGAAAAGAATTCCAAAAACCTGTAAGAGTCAACATAGTCGCACTCTTTTTTTTAAAAAAAAAAAAATCATGTACAAACAGATGGCCTCTGATGGGCTTGAGATGGGGGTAACTTTACTGTTGTGTCTACATTTTACCATTGTATGCATAATGACTCAAATGAGTTGGGTCAGGATATATTCAAGAAAAGAAAATTCAGGTAATTTTAAACTTTGTACCTCTGCAGAGACAGATCCTATTGCAGAGCTATTATTGCTGATTTGGCTGTTTAATGCAAAACTTTGCAGTCCAGAAGGCTGTTTCCTGAATAAATCCAAAGGAACACTAGCAGAAACAGAAGAGTCACCTGAATAAAACAGAAGCAATTTATTAAAATTTTCAGTACTGAAAATTATGCTGAGAACAAGCTTTAAATATTTTGGGACATATTATATTAAAAAATATAATTATCTTGAAAGTAAAGCAAAAAAGAAGTTACTATTTCCACTGTACCATTTATGACTTCATAAGGAAATCACTCAGGAAGTAGATATTGGGGCTCTGAGTCCTGCCATTTATGTTTAGACCCATATCCCTCCTGATTGGTTAAGGCCACCTTGGAGACATGTTCCACCTCTTTTAAAGAAAGTGATGGTTCATCCTCTCCTCAAGAGGACATTCAACAATACCGGAAAACTTTTGTCCAATCTTCAATCTTTTCTTTTTAGAGATTATTGAGATGGTGGTAGTCTTTGCAGCTTCAAAGGGGCATGAAAGAAACAGATTTCCAGGATTATTTTCATTTGGGTATCAAGCCATACTATCAGGGTCACTTAATGGATAATCTCTGCAGGCTTGCGATGGGGCAGTGCATCTGTACTAGGCCTCCTTGATCCCTCAACAGTCTTCAGTATCATTGAGTATGGTATCCTTCTGAACAGACTTAGGAAGCTGGAAGTGCAGAGCACAGTTTTATGATGGTTCTCCTCTTTTTAAATTGGTTCCGGTTCTGGTGGGGCAGAGAGGACCAGCCCTAATCCTATTTTGCAAGTTCCTGAGGCCTAATTTCCAATTTAACATCTACAGTATATGAAACAATTGACGAGGAATCTATTGGCAGAGAATCAACAGCATGTTCAGTTATACATCTTTGCCCATGTTCTATATAGGCTTCTGGGTGCAATTCAAGATTCTGTTTGTCATTTGTAAAGCCTTGCATTGCATAAGGTCAAGTTACTAGTGGTTACTAGTTACCCCAGTGGTTTTTGTTCATTTCTCCTCAGCTGTCAGGACCGCTTTGTGAAACAATAGCTATTATATACCGCTTCATAATGCTTTACAGCCCTCTGTAAGCAAGTTACAGAGTCAGCATGTTGCCCTCAACAATCTGGGTCCTCATTAAGCCGACCCCGGAAGAATGGAAGGCTGAGTCAACCTTGAGCCATTCAGAATCGAACTCCTGGAGTGAGCAGTGAGTTAGCCTGCAGTGCTGCATTCTAACCACTGCGCCACCACAGTAGGACCAAGGATGCTTCTCTGTCATTATGCTTGTCCCATGGAATAGCCTCCTTCCCGAGATCCAGACAGCCCTGAATCTGTTGACTTTCTGGAAAGCCTTGAAGGCCTTTTCCTCAAGTATTAGGGCTAGGATAATAATAGAGGGCAGCATATGTGTTTTGCTTTTTTTTTACTGTTAGTCACACACACAAGAGAAGCCTCATTTATTTTTAATTTGGTGTTTCCTTGTGGCTTTTATTATATTTTTGTAAGTTGCTCAGAGTTACCTCATTATGATTTGCAGCCATATAAATCTGCTAAATCAGCGGTTCTCAACCTATGGGTCGCGACCCCATTTGGGGTCGATCGACCATTTCACGGGGGTCGCCAAGCAAGGCTGTCCGCCATTTTTTTTCCCCTTTTCCGGCGGGTGCCTTACCTCCCTTGAGCTGGGCCAGCTGGTGTTCGGCCTGCTCCGTCTCTGCCGCTTGCCAGCTACGCCTCGGCCAGTGCAGGGGGTGGAACCACGCATGTGCGGCGCTCCCAGGCAGGGAAAGTCCTCGACTTACGACCGGTTGGGTAGTCCTTGACTTACGACCGGTTTAGTCCTCGACTTACGACCGGTTTAGTCCCCGACTTACGACCAGTTGGGGGTCGCGGCATTAAAAAGGTTGAGAACCACTGTGCTAAATAGTTGTGACCTTGTGGTATTTAATGGCTGGATGATCCTCTTTTTTCTGAAGCTAAACGGGTTAGTCATTAGATAGTTAAACAAGATCTCGGGTTTCACTGTTTGCTCAGTGATCACTGAGGAAAGAATAGCTGGAGAAATGACACCTGGGTTTCTATGGTATTCAACAGTTTCTCCTGCTGCACTCATTGGGCATTCTCCTCAGTTTTACAAACACAGAAGATAAGTTAAAGCACCTCTTTGGAAAGAATAAGTCTCTACAATACTTACCATCCAACTCCCCATTTTCCACAATGTTGATTTGCAGCTCTTTTGATTTGGCATTTAATTCACTGTGAACAAACAAAACTTGTAGTTAACAAAGCATTCAAATATATATGCACACACACACACACACACACACATACACACACACACATATTCCCGTATTTTAAAACATGGTCTCTTAACTGCATAATGGAATTTCTGCTTGCCAATGTAAAGGAACCACCTGCTTGGAAGGAAAAAAACATCCCAAATGCTGGCAAGAACATTATTTTGTTAGCAAAAACACAATCAACTTTATTAACAATTAATCATCAATAAACCTACTGAAGTACTGGAATGCAATGCTAGCATCATTTCACTAATTCAGTAAGTTTACCAATGTTTAATTTGTAGTATTTAAATTAAGTTAACTATAAAGAAAGTGTAGCTTTGTATTCAGCTGTTTCTATTTCTGTGGTTGGAATCTGCAATCATATTCCCACTCCTCCAGGAATA